GGGGGAGGGAGGTGAGGGTCTCAAGACGATTGTTTGTAATTGATCGGTCCGTAATATATGTTACGGTAGTCCACGTCGGCGTACTCCATGTCACCGCCTTCCGCGTAAGCGCTGGCCGCCGGCGGTTTGTAGGGCTATAAAAATAATACCACACACGACAAACGTTAATATAATATTTTCAATATTTTCATTTTAAGCATAACATATTAATTGTATACGGACTTGCACTGAAGGCTTATATACCTAACTGGGGCGTTAGTGTGGTGGGCAACAAGGGAGGCGAGTGAGTCGCACCGAGCGGGTTGTGTTAAAATAGTATCAGCGGACGCAAACAAACGGGTGAAGGGGGGGGGAGGGAGGAGGGGCCAAAGCGTACGTACCTATATTACGAGCTTGAGCGCGCGACGACGGTTCTCGTACAAAATATCTGCACACGGTGGTTAATGAGCATTATTGTGTAGCGTTTACGACTGGAGTTAGTGAAATAATAATAATATTAATTTGTTAGTGAAATGAGTGTATGGGTGAATAAAATATGATATGCTCAGCACTGCTACCGCGGGGTATTACCACCGCACCGACGACAGCTCCGCCGCCGGGGTGGGTGACAGTGACGAGTTGGCCGGACGAGAGCCGAGCTCTGCTGCTGCTCGCACAACAATCTCTCACAGGTAGGTACTAATAATAATATAATATAGGCACCGCAGATACGGTTTTGAATCGACGAAAAACATAACAATAATATAAAATATAAAATAAAACGCGCCTAACAATAATATGATATTAATGTATATTATCACTATAATAATAATAATAATATGTCATTGAAATAATAATATCATGACATGAGATACGTTTTTACAAGACATATCCTATAACGATCATCGGTGGGGGGTGTTATCGTCTACACGTCGATTTCGCGGCCAACGTCGTGGAACTTCACCACGTTTTTGTTGGCGCCACCGCCGCCGTTCGCTTGCTGTTGTGTCGCGGCCGCGGTCGGTCCGCCGCCCGGTGGGTTGTTGCGCACGTCTGTTTTCTGTCGAGGTCGGTGATGGTGATCCAACTCGGCGGTCGCCGTGACGTTTCGATACCTGTCCGTCAGCGGTTGCGGCGGCGTCGGTGATGGCGGGTCGTCATCGGCTTCGGCGTCCGCCGCGTAGTCAGACGCGTCCACGGGCTGCGGTTGTTCCGCGTCGTCGTCCGGCTCGACGGCCACCACGCCTCCGCCAACGCCAGCCCGGCGGCGGCGGTTCTGCTGTCGGCGCCAAGACCGCTTGGTCATCAGCGACTGTTCGTCGGAAACATTTCCGACGGACGCCGTGCCGACGCCGCAGTATGGCCGTTGCTGCTGCTGCTGCTGCTGCTGCTGCGATTGTCGTTTTGACTGTTGCTGTCGCGTGCCCATGCTGGCGTACACGTCTGCGGCGTAGTAACCGACGCCCGACACAGTGTTGTAACTGTTGTTGGCGGCCATGGTGTTGTAATTGCTGGTGATGGTCGACTGTACGGGTGGTCCGTCGCCGCCGATGGATGTGGCGTTGCTTCGTCTTCTGTTGCCGTGTTGTTGCTGTTGTTGGTGATGGTGGTGGTACTGTTGCAGGTGTTGACTGCTGCCGCCGATGCCACTGCTGTAGTAGTGGTCGGACAACGAACCTCCACCGCCGCCGTCCAATACTTGCTGGCTCCCACGGCGACGTCTTCCCATGGTCCCGCCGGTATTTGTCGATTTGATCTTGTCGGCGTCACCTCGGTCGATGTCGTTGTCGTCGTTGTACCGGCCGACCGCGTTCTTATGTTGGTGTTTCAAAGACTTTTGGTACGCGTCTTCCCGACCGGCGCCGGTCACCTCGAACTGGGTCATTTCGATGGACTGTTGTTGTTGTTGCTGACGGTGGTGAACAACACCGCCGCCGACAGTGGAGTACCCAGCCGTGATAGATGCTTCAGCCGCGTCGTCCGCAGTTACCCGGTTGTACAACAGTTGGTGTTGTTGCTGTATTTGCATACGGTAAAACTCATCCAAACTCCGAGCTCCTATCCCGACTCCTGTCAGCTGTTAATCACACACACACACACACACACACATACATACACACACCCACACGAAATTGTGTTGTTAGTAAATTATTTTGTTATGTTAGTAATTTCGCAAGCATAGCAAAAAAAAATAAAAAAACAATCTAAAAATGCTACTGAGTGTACTATTCAAACATGTCAAACGGACGAGGTTTGTAGAGGTGGGGTTGATAGGGTGTGCAGGGGGGGATTGGACGCGACTACAACATAATATTATCATTATTATATAGTGACCGACGCGGTCCACCGGTACGTACCTTATTGCTGTCRACCACGTTACCGTCACCGTTCAACAGCTGCTGCAGGTTCTCGTAGGTGCCACGCCGCGCCAACGACGGCGGCGCCACCGAGGCAGACGGCACGCGCGTCCTGGGAGCTGGTTTGGGGAACGTCGCCGCGGAAAACGCGTCTTTCCGCCGGCCCGACGTCTTCGTCTCGTCGTCGTCCACAMCGCCGCCTTTGTTGTTGTTGTTGTTGYCTTTGCGGTCACCGCCGACGGTCGGCTGTCTGATCGGTAACCCGGCGACCGGTTTGTCGGTGCTTCCGGTGCCTACGGTTCTCATCGACCGGAACTGCTGATCGCGCCGCTGCCACGCGGTCGCCGCGCCGCGGTTCGGTCTYTGCAACGAGTTGAACCGTACGGCGGCCGCCGGACGACCGACCACGTCGCCCAATTTTGGGACGGCGGCCTGGCGCAGCAGCGACACGTATCCGCCATTTGGCGATCGGTGGATCAACGAAGACGACGGCGCCGGCGGTGGCGATGTATCTTCAGGTGGTAACGGAAGAGGTGGCTTGTGGTTAGAGCGGTCGACCGTTTTACTGCTGTTACCGTTGTTTACACGTGGTTGACGCGTGGGTGACTGTTTTAATTGGCAAACAGGATGATTGGCGGGGGACAAATCATAATTGACAACACGAAGCAAAACAAAAAACAAAAATACAAAACGAATAAAAACAAAGCGAAAACGACAAAAAAATAAAATAAAACAAAAAAATTGTTGCATGCATTCTCGGTGAGATATAATGTAATAATATTATGAAATAAGAAATAAAAAAATTACGTAATATTATGTTACTGTTATACGGTACTAAGTCGTGACCGTAAAACGATGACTTACCTGATTGGGTGGCGGTCGCATTCCGTGAAACGGTAAGTTTTCGTAGAACGCGGCTTTCGAGTCACCCGTAGCCCCCAAATTGGATTCGTTGTCCTGCTGCTGACCGGCTCCGCCTCGTGAATCTAAACATAAAATAACGCAAAAATAATTAATTAAATACGTTTCATATTTTGCAGATACCACGTAAATGTGTCGAACATCTCGTGGTTCCGTTCATGACCCTGGAAGTAATGTGAAGAATTTGATTTTTTTTTTTGAGGTGATTGGCAGGTAGGTACTTAATCATTATGATTATGCTATTATTCACTGACGTATTGTTTGTCGTAGTTGAGGGTTTTTTGCAATGTTGCAAGATTTTTTTTGTAAGGTTTAAATATTAGGTATTATTTAATTAGTATACACTGTTTTACTAAATTGTTTGAAAGTTATGACACCAGTATTCGAATTTTATAGAGTTTTCTAATTATTATAAGATACAGATAACAAATAGCAGAGTTAGCAATTAATTTGTTTTATGCATCAAGGAAATTTGTTTTAATGTCAAATATGACATTTAATTTTGCTATTATTTTTAATTTTTAGTTCTAATTTTACGAATGCGCACAGTATACTATTTTATTTTATCAGGTTTATTTTTGATAAATCATTTTTACATTGAATAGAATTGTACGCGTATTTATAAATACAATAAATTATGACTTGTGAATGTTTTTCTTTAAGTTCGGTCGTATGCATGTTATTTTAATAATTCGTACAGACTCAAAAATTGTTACATCTTACACGTGTGTAAATTATAGGTAGGTATATCAAAATTATGATAGTCAATTATATAGTATGTGTTTGCWGTTTATAACAATGTAATGTAGTATATTATTAAGGATTTAATGAATTTTTCAACATTTTAATAGAACTTCAATACTTTTAGTTTGATTTATGTAATTGACATAATGGCATTGGGTTTTGATTTGCATTATGGAAGCTTACATTTTTATTTCATTGTATTTCATTGTATTTCATTGTAGATTTTGGTAATAGTATTGGTAATTTTTAATTTTTTTTTTTTCAAAAACGAGAAAATTTAAATGAAATAGGTATTAGTTGTATATTATTTTGGTAATTACCTATAAATAATAATTTAGAACAAATTATGATGATAACTTATAAGTTATTAAGTTTGAAGATAATTTATTTATAAAAAATAACACAGAAGCATTTTAGTTGCAAATAAAAAATGTATTGTAGTAGTGAATATAGAGGTACCTGTTCAAAGTATGTTTTTGTTTACAACACTGTGGAATTCATTTTCAGCTTTTTCCTACACTATAAATGGCGAGTTTTATATCATTATTAAGACCTATTGTTTGAACGAGTTGATTTTAATATTAGATAAACATTTAAAATTACTTTACATAATACTTGCGTGCTTGTTGTTGGTGAGGTTATTTATATACATTATATTGTAAATAGCTTGTATCGATCATTAAAAAAAACAACATAACATCACACAGAATAAAAAAAACTACATCTACTTTTTAAATASATCATAAAACGCACTATAAACCTCATCGTATATACACCGAAGTACAAGCAGCAATCTATATAATTTATAGCAAAATTGCATAAATTCAAAGTTCAATTTTCTAACATTCCGGTCAAAAAAAAAAAAAAAAACAGGAAACAAAAATGTCAATTTTCTGCCTTTAAAAAGTTTAATTTTTAAGTTATTAAAGATTTTTCAACATGTATATGTCTTATGGCTGGGGACGCGGGGTCATTCTATAAATTTGTGCGACATCAAGAGCATTAAAAAAATTATCATGAATAAAAAAACGAAGAGTACATTTTTTTTWAAATATGGTGTCGAAATAATAATCCTCTCGTTATGTCTCTCGAGTAAAGTCGTTGTATTGAAGCAACTAGCAATGGAAAATCCTGCAATTTCGTGATCGAATTTATACAAATTTATAATAATTAGAAAAAACGAGATTTCCGTGAAGGTAAGTCGGCCGTCTATCGTTACTGGTCCCGTACAATGTATAATAGTAAATTATTTATTGATATTTTGAATACGGTTTTTGGAGCCACGTGTTATTGTGCGGTCGTATTTCTACCTGTTACAGAAGGATATCTGGACGCGCCGCTATCCGAACTCTGTCGGACAGGAGGCGCGGGAGGAGGCGACGTGGGTGATGGTTTTTTCGGTACCAAATTATTATTGGATCCAATCATCATGCGGCGGATACGAGCCGCGCGCGCTGACTGCGTCTCGTTGGCCAACATAATGCACTCGGCCACCGGTTTTCCTTTTCCGGTGTGGTTTTTTTTCAACTTGTGTTTATCGCTTTCGTCTGAAACGGTTTTGTCAGCGGACCCGCTTCCGCTATCCGCAGTGTCAGTCACCGCCGATTGGGAGTACGTAGCCGAATGCAACTTGTGCAGCTGCTGTTTCGAATGCACCAACACGCCCGGCTTGAGCGGCCACTTGCCGATGACGCTTGCGGCAGATGCGGTCCGCTGGCTGGAAAACGATTCCGAGTGATCGTCACCGTATCCGGGCGGGGGCTTAGGGYTGCCCGGAATATTCACCGCCGATTGATCTGTATACTGCTGTGCATTCACGGGGTTAGCACCGGAAGTCGAYGACGTGGCACTGCCTTCGGGACTACAATAGTAATCGTTACAAGACCGCTCGACAGGGTTGTGTTATCGTATATCTTTTAGCAAGGTTTAAGCGACCATCAGCAGATTGTAGCGTGTGTACAAAAGAATATATTATAATAAAGTATATTGTAACGAAGTTTCAAAGCACATAAGTTTTAGTGGTAAATATAAGAAGAGCAAAACAACAATAGCCGTCATATAGGTAAAAAATGTAAGAAAAAAATGTATATAATATTGTAGGTATTCAACCACCACCACCACCGACATTATAATGAAAAAGAATAATTATGAGAAAAGTGCATTTGAGTGCTAGCGCGCGTACCAATGATAATAGTCAACGGCAATGCCCGTTGAACCGTACAATACTCACTTTTGTCGCACTTTCGATATGTTTAATAGCAAGCCACGGCCTCGGTGCCGGCGCCAAACGACTGGTACCCTATACGCCGTCAATGAAGGGTATTTTTGTTTAACATCTATATATTAAAAACAAAAACGGATCACACAATAAAAGCTGTACCTACTAAAAATAAAAAAATAAATACAAATACATCGTCTACTACGTCAAATAATACAGACAGAACGATACGCACTAAAATAATAATAACACTATACCTAATGATTATATCACTACATCCACAGTTGGCATACCTTTTTGATATGTTCACATGCCGTAGTTCTCAAAGTATTTTTTTACCGGTTTATCAAATTATAACAATGTTATACGGATACTTAGGAAGGTATATTATTGTGCATGTTTTTATTAAACATGGAACACTTACATTTCTGACGTCCTCCCGACACTCCGTTGCCTGGTTTAATGTAACGGTTCTTACAAACGAACAGCAACAGGATAACAATGATGACGATGACAATGAGTAGCAAAATCACAACTAAAGCCACTAAGACCACCATCACTGGCAATCCACCCAAACCTATGGCCGCCAACAACTGTTTCCACCACGGAGCGTCACCTATATGCGTATAAGTAAATTAATTGTACATTTTCGAAGTAAGCAGTAATTATAGTAATAACACATAAAAAAATGTATAAAAATAATGAAAATGTATTAATTGTAAATTATAATTGTTATATTATACTATTAATGTACTATAATGATTTTATCGAGATATAGGCACTTACTTTCCCTGACAGCTAATAAAAAAAGAAATATATAATATATTACTGTGAATAAATATGTTAGTCTATATTTTAACTATCATGACGTCAGGTGCGGATAATATTTCACACATTTCGTTAAGTACCTATGTTAAAAATAGTAAGATGACGGTGACTTAAAACTAATTATGCGTATTTATAAAACAAGTGATGCTCTGCTTTTCCAATCAGACCTATGAGCATGGCTTAATGGCATACCTATTAGAGTAAGTTCTGGTCGTGTGGTGTTACTCAATATTTCTAAATATATTTGAAAGCCTTACATTCTTCATACTGGCCGTCGAATTACCTACTGCACATTATACCATCCATGATATACCAATTACTTCTTTTAATTCTGTCTGAAACCTAGTTATTCACTTTTCCCATAACTACATTATTAAAAGACCAGCTGCTCTTTAGTCCTACCTATTCTGAGCACGAATCTGTTCTTTAGTATCGTAAACTGTTTATAGATTCACTAGCATCTGATAGGATTCAATGTACATTTCTAAAATATGTTCCTTGTTCTCTATAAGGGCCTTGGAGACACATTAAGAATATAATATAATTTCTTACCAAACTTTTGTCTAATTCAATTGATTACCTACCCTCCAATTACAAACACATTTAAAAGTCTCACCTCGTCATGAACTGGATACACTACACTTCTTTCTTCTTTATTTCATTTCCCTCATCTAATCATGTATTAAACTATCTCTTTTTATCATCTTATGAATCTTGCTAATGAATACCCTACCTTAAATTATTTATACAATTTAAACTTCCGAGATTTTACTGGATCTTTTATTATTATTTTATATTATATTTAAGATGTAATTATTTGTAAATCTATAAATATAAAACTATAACTAACTGTTTTTAGGTCTCAGCGTATTTAATAAAAATTGATTACAAATAAAAAATAATATATCGTTTATCTTTAAATAAAATAAAATAGATATTATTTTGTAATATTTCTAGGAAGAGATTTATGATTTAAATTGTTATTTACAAAAATAATTTATAGCATTTTATTATGATGTCGAATTGAATCTTAAAGTTTGGTGGTAGTTAATAGCATCACTTGTTAAATATTTTTATTTTTAAATGTCATGTTTATTTTATATCTAAAGTTAAGTTGCATAATAACGTATATTCACACCTGATCTTTTACATTAATATTTCTCATAATTCAACATCATCACTAGAAGTGAACAATTACCTTGTACTTGAATGCTACACTGGTCCGATCCCACAGTGTTGTTTACAGTACACACATATGTCCTGACCCCTTCTGATGCTCCATTGTTAGGTATATTATCACTACCTCTTCCCTCATCATCTTCGTTGGTGCTTACTTCCAGTCTATCTTGTAATATTAGTATGCTCCGGTTATAACTTCCGATATTGTCCACTTCAGTCGATCCACTGTTGCCGTATGATCCAACTGATACAGTGATGATCCTCTCAGTAGCAGGAGAGTCAGATGTCGAAGATGTCGACGTATCGTTCTGGCGACCTGAGTTTCTTATAGTCCACGTGTATTGTACTTGCCCTGGATTTGCAGTAGCTGTACAAACCAGTATTCTTTTTTCACCAGAAGATGAAGATAAAAATTCCTCTAATTCGGAAGATTGATCAGTTAAACTAGCTGATGACTCTTGTTTAAATTGTTCAACGGTTATCATTCTAAGTTGACAACTAGGCTTATCTATAAAAACAAAATATTCATATTTAATTTAGAAGCAGAATAGGAAAATTTCCAATTCGATACATGTCATTAATATATTTTAATCATATACATTTTATTATTGGGTAATTAATTGGAAATGTTACTACCAAATTATAGCAATTTAATTTTCATTAATTTATATATAACTGAATATTCATCAAATTTACTAAACACATATTTATTGTTTTCGTTAATATGAACAAATTAATAGGATTAACTAAATAAATAAAATATTTTAACTAATAAAAAAATTTGTGATAGATGAATTTATATAAAAAATATAGTATTTAATAAGATATATTATGTTTCATTTGAAATACAATGTCATACAAATAATGTATCTTTTCATATTGTATTTTAGAATAACAACAAATTAAAATTTCAAATTAATATTTAGGCACATTTATGCCGTTTGCAATGATTTACGTAAAAATTTGCACATTGGCTAAACTAATTAATGTCGTGTTGAAATAACAACAGTGGTAGATTTCCGGATAATTTACAACAAATCACTGAGATACTAGGTACATTTTTACAGGAGACATTGTTTTAGAAGTCTAGAAGATATAACACTGATAATGCAGGAGGTTAAAGACGTTGTCAGTCAGAACATTTTTATATGTAATAAAAATGAATTACAAGTTACCAATAACTTGTCAGTGGTGCATGCAATTAAGGAGAACTATGCACCAATTTTATAATAATAAATTATTAATACAAATTAAGATATAAATGTATTAATATTGTATATTAGTTTTTTGGAATATAATTTTAGTCAGGACTGAGTGTCTAAGCTCTCCATATATTTTGTCTTTGGTTGCTCCTCAGGTTGTTAGTTTTACATTTCATAAGGATTTTATTTTGATAGTTGTGAATTTTTAAATGATTTCACTCACACATGACGTCTAGATAAGTGTACGCAGTTTCGTTTCCATGTGTGTTACGAGCTACGCAGGCATAATAACCAGCTTGATGCCTGCCTACAGCTGAGTTTAACACCAACTGTTGGTTGTTATTTTGGCTAACGCCGCTTCCAGAGTTTCCACCGACACCACTGTTCCCAGCGTTGGCGATTGATGAAAGTCTTTGCTGGGAAGACGATTGGGTGGACTGAGACGAGTTTCCTGGCACATTCCAGTTGTTCGTGCTGGCAATGTAACGCCATTCAAAACTGGGCTGCGGGCGTCCCTCAGCATGACAAAACACTTTTTCTGGTATGTTACCTTCACTTACGTGTACGACCGTTTTGGAGACAGTCATGTTACCAGGAGGATCTAGAACATACCAGGATGGAGAGTTAGATTGTTTATCATCATACGTGTGAACTAAAATATCAGGCTTACATTCAACAGAGAAATGCATGATGGATTCTGATACTGGGGGTCCAACTTCATTACCACTACTCCGGCAACTGTATTCTGTTGAATCTGTTATAGGATCTAAACCGTGACCACCTGGCCAGTTATCCATGCGCCATATCAAGGTGCTACGTACCGCTTCGAAATCATTTTTCAACCGTTCTGCTGGTAAATATTCTGTCAGTATTGAATATCTGCAACAATAATCATTCAATTTAAAAAAAAAAAAATGGTATTTGCTTAGAGTTAAAGTTGTTTTTTTTAAAAATTAAAATGAAGGTTTAAATCATGTAAGCACACAATATATAGCTAAAAACAAACAATTTTTTAAATTTACATTAATTATAAAATGTAAAACATTTATACCTTTCCTTGTCCATTAGGTTGTTTATTGGATCGATTAGGACACCACGGCGTAACCAGTTCACGGTACAGTGAGGATAGCATTCAACTGTACACGATGCATTTACATGCGATGCATTATAAGCCACTCCTAAATATTGTGGAGGTCCAGTTATGTAATTTGGTGGAGCTACAAATAATAGAAATGTTTAATGCATTTTATTTTCGMTAATTGCATATGATAAATATTTTAGTTATCTTACCGAAAACCTCAATATATACAGGCTCGGAATATGTGACCCCGCCTTCGTTGTAGGCAGAACAGGTAAAATTAGCTCGAGTTTCCAACGATACATGATCGACAAACCAATCGGGGTTGAAATTCCCTCCACCAATATTTCCATTGGTGCCAAGATTAATTCCAGTTCCAGAATTTATATTAGGATTTAGTCCTTGATTTTGATGGTAAACTGGATGTCCATCGCGAAACCATGAGTAACGAGTAGGATGTTGAGGCCGACCAAGAAATTGAGCATTGCATCGTAAGGTGACGTTCCTTCCYTTTATGACTCGTCGTGGGCTGAACTCCAATGTCACCGGTCCCGGAGCAACTATTCAATTAAAAAAAAAAATTAAAAACTTAAGTAAAATAAAATATAGATAWAAAAATTTGAGCATAATATACTCAATACGTTATAATGTATTATTGAAGATTTGATTATGTGATTGCAATTTAGGTATAATCTTGTTATTTATTATTTTTTAACAATATATTTCGACATAATTAATATTTTTYATTCAAGATTAGACGCATTCTTTTTCGATTAAAATGTATAAGTAATTGTTTATTATTTCTACAGTATTATTAAGCAACAAGATACCCCCTATTAATATATAATCAAATGAATGAAATATCAATATTCTACTATAATTATGATAAAATTAGTTAGCTTTTTAAAAATTAAAAATTATCTTATTTTTTGTCATATAAGTAAAAGTGCGGTCATAAAATTAAAATTGCAGTAAGCTTACAATATACGATAAGAGGTGTCTGATCTGACATCGGAGTAAGGAGACCAGCAGCGTTCCGTGCTCGGCATGAATAATTTCCATGTATATTTTTCGTCACATTTACTAAAATAAGTTCTCTATCGGTGCACACCACTCTTCTTTGCTTTTTATTGCGTCTTCTTGTGTCATTATCAACAGCATATGAGTCATATTCTCCTTCTCCACGTGGTTCGCTGGTATCATAGTTCAAACCCAAGGCATTATTCTCATTATCATTATTATCCGTATCGAAATCATCATCTTCGTCATCTTCGTCTCCAAAAATATCACTACTATCCGATGACCTAGTACAGTTGGGCAACTGCATTTGTACGCCATTCCAATACCAATGAACTGATGTTAAATTCAATGATGGGTCGTTGTTGATGTCTTCAATATTTTGCTGATCCTGTTCTAATTCTACGGCACATCGAAGTGTAACGTTGCGATGTTCTGATTCTAATACAACTGGATTTGACCCAACCATATTATTATTGTTAATACTACTGCTCGTTGTTGACGAAGTTTGATTATCGTCRAGTGAATCGTCTAGGATAACGTGYAATTTTACCTTAGGTGTATCTGTAATAAGCACAGAAAATTAAGACATTTCAATCCTTTTTAATTTAATTTTGTTTTATAGTTTTATTTACTTAAGACTCAAAAGTAAATATTTTATATAAATATACAATTATACATACACTGAACACGAACGTTTGCAAAATTTGTGGAATTGGCTGCCCCGACTGAATTTCTTACCCGACATTCATAACGGCCCGAGTCGTAACGTGTTAACCTCCTAACTACTAACATTGTCGCATCTTCACCATTTCCATCTCCATGAATTCCTCCATTTCCATTCACTAATCCTTTAACTCGAGCATATTTTGCTTGATTTCCCATAGGATTCATCTGAAACCTAGTATTCGCACTGTTTGAGGATCCTGAAACCGTTCCAGCACCAGTAGCTGGTGTTACTGCTGCATACGATGATGCTGATGATCCGTGATTTGATGAAGAAGGTTCTTCTTCATCAATTAGTTGTAACTCAATGCCATCTCGATACCTATAAAAGAGAYCATAATTTAATATAGTAATTAGCAATCTATATTTCTGTATTCTGAATAAATAAATATTCACCATTTAACAGGTGTTCGAAGTTTATCTGGATTTGCGTGATATGCACAATGTAGCCTCAATTCTTTAGTCTCGTTTACCACCACAGTGTATAAAGTTGATTGATAGTGCAATCCATCGTTTGTATCTTTAGACGTAGCGTCAGTTACAACTGGGTTGAAATTATTGTTACTATCAACTCCTCCTTTACGTTGTTGACCTATTTCATTTTTTATTTCGTCCTCTATAATCGCACCAGAATTTTCTCCGTCAGTAATAGGTACTACCCAGGCAGTYGGTACATCTGAAACAGAAATTGAATTGTTTAAACATTTTATAAAACGACGAAATCAAACATGGTTTAGATTTACACACATTTTACTCGAATTGTCATGTTTACAGTGAGGGGTTGATTGGGAGATGAACCAACATTATTGAATGCATCACATCGCACTATAGAACCGTCTTGTTGGCGATGAAGTTGTGCCATTGATAATTGGCTGTGCGTATCTCGGGTGCCATCAGCCTATAAAATAAATCCCACAATTAGTGTTATTATAACTATCAATTTTGATGACCACGTTTCAATATTGAAGAAAATATAAAATAAAAGATATATTAGAAGTTCTTATTTTTTCTAATTTTCATTTGTTCTTACTTGATATTCAGTATGCTGTGCTATTTCTACAGGGCCTATGATTTCTGCTCCACCTTCCATACGTCGTTGTTCCGAAATCAAATAATCACTGGGAGATCTAGCTGTAGACCCCCCATTTTGCTGGCTGTTTCCTAACATAACGGGTGCTCCGTGCTTTGACGATTGGACAGGAGGTGCACGAACATTTTGTTCATTTCTTATCCCACTTCCGTAATCATTGTCACCATCATTTTCTTGATCCTTATAATAATAATACCATGTCACGTTTGCTTGAGGACGGGCTCCACGGGCCGCGCACCGAATTACTAACGGTTGGCCTTCTGTAGTTTCTGCGTAAACCACGCCACCGGAATTTCTATCAGGTTCGCTATTTTGAGGCTTATAACGATCGTCGACTTTAGAAACCTTAGTTACTGGGGCGCCTGATGATGATGTGGACATTTCAACTGAGTATGGACTTACTGAAAAGTGTATGTAGAAAATATTTGTTTTTTATCGTCGTCTAGAGAATACTAGGTTATATCATCATATATGGCTTTACTCTTTATTTCAAGTATAAATTACATACCGTTTACAGTGACTTCAACATTAGATGTTAGAATTGGTGATGAATCAGTCGCCGTTTTTACTCGACATTCATATCTACCATTTGCACCTCTCTTCCCGATAACGGTAAGAATACTCTGTGCAACCCATAATCCCGAGTATGAGAAAACGTCGTCAGACATATCGGAATCTACTTTGCGAAATTGATAATCAACTGGAAATAGCAAGAATGTATACATTATTCTACAATATTATTATAAACGAGAAGACATTTTTGTCAAATATATTATTATCATTATGATGGAAATTAATAGAATTTATTTATTTTTCCAAGTGTTGGATTAAAATATATTACCTAAATCAGTATCATAAATTGGACCACGACTATGTTGCCACCACGTGACTTGGGGTATAGGTCTGGCACGGCCTGCACGACATACCAGACGTATTTTATTTCCTTCATCAACTGGACCCACGATTGCTCCAGATGTCAACTTTTTCATAATACCAAATTTTGGATCGCTATTTTTGTCATCGTAAAAATCTGATGTAGGATCTATGTAATTGTGCGCTGAAGGATCACCGAGTTCAGCATATGTGCCAACACTGATTGATTCAGGGTCAGCTAAAAATAGAAATAAAAAAAATGTTAAAATGTATGATATTTATAATGTAAAAACATATTTACTTAGTTTATTAAATTGTAATAATGTTTAATAGATAACGTTTTAAACCAAAAGCATTTTTATTGGATATTAGTTTCTATTCATAYACACGTTCTTAATTCAATATATTTATCTACTTTCATTTTAATTAAACAGCGCACAATTTGTATTGTTGATCTCAAAAATATTTACATTTTTAATCGTGTTAATTATAGACTAAAACTACTCAAGTTAATGCTATCTATTATATTATTTACTTTAATGTGAATAACATTGATTATTAATTGTTAAAATCTACTAATAAAAAAATATTTCTCATTAACTACAAAGATAATTTGTTTTCAAGTTTTTAAATCAAACGATAGCGAATTACATTTATTTTTTAATTTTCAAGTACGGATATTAAAACCATTGATTTTTATATTAAACCATTTCAGTAAGTCAAAACCAATTATTTATACCACTGAACAGCTTGAACAACTTTTGTTAGACATACACAAAAAAAAAAAAAGAAACTATAAAGTGATGTATCCCTTTGCTCTTTTCTTAAATAAAAGCGGGCAAACTAAACTGAAAACACACGCATTCAACTTCTTATACGTTTGAAAATCTCTTTCGACAAATTCATTTAGTAAGAGCCTCTACTAAATATAATCTATTATCTGTAGCCTGTAAGTACCTATATATTTGATATACTTATTATATTTTAGGATTTTACTTTACCATCAACACTAATTACATAGACGGTACAAATGTTGTCAACAATCTGCTTCCAGGAAAACATTAAAGCTCCTCAATTTTTCCCGAATTAAACTTAATTTTATCTCAAACGTTCAAAACAATGAACGAAATCTCTTAGAGGTCATACCTTTTTCTCGAATA